CGTCTTCTGCTCTCCTGAGCTGGCTGCTTGGGACTGCTTGGGGCAGCGGGCAAGGTGTTTGGCTTTCAGGGGTCACATGCTTCCAGCGTGGGCCCCAGCAAGCTAAGTAAAGAGACAATGGGGTGGGGGGCAGGGGAGGGGCGCATGCGCAATGCGGGAGCTGTCTGTGTAGCAGGGCTGGCTGTGGCAGGGGTCTGCAGGTCAGGAGTGAGGGGCACCAGCAGGGCTGGGGGCTGAGGACAGGGCTGGGGGCAGGGCCTGCGGGTCCAGAGTGTGGGGCACCAGCAGGGCTGCAGGGGGCAGGGGGCTGCGGGTCAGGAGTGAGGGGCATGGGGGTGGGCAGGGGCTTAGGAGTGAGGGGCAGAGGCAGGGCACATCACTCCCCCTCACAATCATATGCCGCTCCCTCCTTTGCTCCCCTCTCCCCCTCCCAGGTGTCCTCTTTTTTGATGCTGGAAATATGGTAACCCCATAAACCAAGTGTGAAGAAATAAGCAGATAAGCTTGGCCTGCTTGCTGGTTCCCCTGCTCCTACTGCCCAGACCCACTGAAGGAGGTAAGCACTGTATTAAATAAATTTGTTTTTGAAATGGGGTGCTGCTCAGTTCCCAAAAGGTATGGAGGGATGCCTCAAGTCCAATGAGGATTACCTACTCCACCAGAAAAAAATGTAGTCACTTGACCCTTATAGTAAAAAAAAAAAAATGTAGTCAACAAACCTCAAATGATATTTTCCACTCAAAACATATATGGAAAAAAACAAACAATGCACAAACTGCAATAAAATTAATAACCTCAGTCCCCTACATCCCCCTCCTTCTCAAAAAGAATTTTTGTGACTTTTTCAACTCCTGTTAGGATGGAAATCCTGGCACAACTTTAACTGTAAAGGCACTTCTGCCCCTTTAAAATGTTGTCAGGATGAGAAGGAGCATGCCCAGTAGTTATGCATAGGAATGCTGCAAGCTGGGTGCAAACAAGATATCATGAAAGTACAGCCCAGACTTTAAAAAGCTGGAACAGAATAAGGGAACAATAAAGTTTTCAGGGACTTAAACTACTTTGGAAAGTGTTCATTAACATTTCCACCTCTAATAATAATACCAAAATTGTTTTTGATCCTTGTTGCTCATAAAGATAACCAGGAAGTTCATTCAAGATATCATGGTTAAAATTAGTTTCCTGGTAATTAGCTCCCTCTAACCATAACCCCCTCAACTTTGAATCTCTCTGCTAGCTTCTCTTCATTCACTGCAACAGATACATACTCCTCATTACTATCCTTGTGTCTTATAGTGCTGCCTCCTTTCTCCTTTGCAGTGATACCAGTCTCCTCCTTCCTTAGTTTGCTTCTTCCACACTGCTTCCTATACATGGAAGGTCCTCTGTGAACAAGCATGTAAAACCACAGCTCTGTCCTCCTTCAAATCCTTTCTTAATACCCACACCTACTGTAATGCCTGTAGTCAAGAGCTGGCCAGTAGAGACTTCTGATATTTAGCTATTATAATTTTAAAGAACACCTGGTTGAGCATATAGCTGGCTTGTGTTTATATTCCATACAAAAAGCTAAATTAAAAGAATGCTTATATTTCAAAGCATTCAAGAAATAAGAGAGGAAGTGCATACAGAATACTCCCTCCTGCCCCGACACTATGAAAAAAGAATAGTATATGATCATGTAATTATAAACTGTACATGAAAGGGTCAAAATAAGATTGAACAGGCAAATTAATTCTGCCATTCCTAACTTGGTATGTTCTTTGGTATGCAATATGCTATTTTATAACAAAGTGAAAATAAAAGCTAATTCCATCCAACAGAAAGCCTGATTCCCCCATACTTCTCAGCAGGGTTAGAACAGCCATAAAAAACAGAGTAGCTGTGAAGAGTAAAAGCAGGGAAAATCTACTCAAGAGGGCACATGCCCAGCATAGATATAATTTTCAGATTTTATCTGCCTCTGCCCAGTCTCGGCTGAACACATATTAACTTAGATTTTCAGAGGGTTGTAACATGCCCAAAACCGGCAAGTTTTTCAGGAATGGCAAAAGCTATGCTGCTGACATCAGGGTAACTTATTCTGCCAAATTTCAAGTCTGGGCTCTTTAAAAAAGGAGGTGCTAAACATTCCCAAGGGAAATAACTGTAAATATTTTTAAAATGAGCAAAAGAGAAATCTTTCCCCTAACCTTATTCTGAGAAAGAGTTGAACCATTTTTGCTGACACTGTAAATACTCAGCATGGAAGGTTCTGACCCCAAATGATTAATGTTTGGCTAAGTTATAAACAACTGAAAGCAAGGCTTTAACAGAAAGTGTTGACTAACTGTAACTATAGGCTTTCTTACCTGCACTACCTATAATATGCTCTTATTGTTGTTTCTTTGGTCAGCCTTCCTTCTTATAGTTCCTAATACTGCCATTATCTCTAAAATTAAATGTAAACCTACAGGCACTGCCCTCTTATTCTAGGTTTCTATAGAGCCCAACACAATTGGGATTCAAGGCTAAGTACAGATATTCAAAAAGGCCAAGGCAGAATTGGTCCAGTCTATGTGGGTTTCTCTAAGCTGCATAGATTGGATCACGAGTGAATGTAACTCATGTTCGCCCTTGGGTTGGGTGAGGCAGGCATTTGCTTGCAGTCACTGAGGCCACAAGGTGGGGGGATGCTCCCACACACCTCCCAGCCTGCCAGACATTGCCAAGGGCATCTGAGCCTAGTCTAGTGGGGGTCATTCCCGACTGGCTGCCCAGCATACACCCCAACCCCCTGCTGTCAGCTGCATGGAGTGGGGAGCCAGCACACAATATGACCCTACCACAGTAGGAGGACAGGGGGTTGAGGGGAAGCAAAAGCACCCACCGTGTGGACCCAGGCCCCACAGACCCAGCCAGAACAGCTGCGGGGGGCGCATACTGCTGGGGTTCCCTCCAACCTCTATGCATTCCCGGCTGGACTGCACAGCCCTGCCCCTCTTGCAAGTCACTGCCTTTGAGCGGTGTTGTGGGGTGGGGGAACAGAGCCCCCTGCCATGGCCCTGCCCCCCGCCAGAGCTGGGGTCTGCCCAGCTGGGGGTCCCACATAGTGGGGGCTTTCCCCCACTGCTATACTGGCTGCCTGGCTAGCTGAGCTGCACAGCCCTGTCCCCACCCCACGAGTTGCTGTCTCTGAGCAGTGGGGGTCAGGGTGGGGAATGGAGCCTTCTGCCATGGCCCTGTACCTCCACCCCCGAGCTGCGGGCTGCCCAACTGGAAGGAGCCGTGTGGCTTTTGCCCCACTGTGGCTAGTCCACCCACCCTGTAAGGTGGGGTTAACAGAGGGCTCCAAAGCAACCTGGGATACCGGGGGACTGGGACCGAACTTGAGTCAAGAGGGAATCTAGAACAGGAGTTCAATAGACCAGTCTAACCTAAACTGATTAAGTCTGATACTAAATCTATCTAGGTCTATCTGAAACCAGATTCTGCCATTTTTAAACCAGCTATGTGCACTGAATTTCTGTTCTGTTACATGTTTAGACCAGTTTCCAATCACTTATACTGGTTTGCATGTAATTTTTGTACTGAGCGCAAAGGTTTTCATAGGCCTCTTAGATATGTTGTAATATAAATAAAATCTCAACTCTTTTCCTCTGCTAGATCTACTGATCTACAATTGATAGTTATTGCATGCATATTAAAATCCATTGTAATCCACTAAAACATTAGCAGATATACATTGCATACATTTATGCAATGTATTGCACAATTATGCAATGTATGTAATGTTACTCCAATAATGGAGTAACTTCTCAATGCCATGTTCACAAACAATTGCCTCTTAATTCTTATAAGATACTTTTCATTATACTAAATGGTGATCAATTACAGTTTATGAGAGGAAAAATAATTCAAGAAACATCCATTGAACCTGAAGGTCAACATTTTTAAAAAATCTTAAATTTAAACCTTTTTGTTTTGATTTCCATTTTGCCATGAAGAATTTCACTGCTATATGTTAGGAAAATCACTGTGTCAGATGAGAGCAATTATCCTCCTTTAATCTGTACCCAAATCATCCATTTAATTTATATAATTATAAGGAAAGTATTGGATTAGTAATGGAGCACTGATACATACAAATACAACAGATGCACTTTGGATCAAATATAGAATATACCCATTCACAGAAAACATTTATATCCTGCCTTTTTTATACTGTTTTGAAACTTATTCTTTTTAGAATGTAGCTGTAGTTAGACTGTTGAACAGATGGGGAAGGTTAATCTTTCATACAGCAGAAATGGTCACAAGAAAAACTGTCTTAAGGGATAAAAAAAATATATGTCTATTAAAAACTATTCTGCCAAGCAATTTTTCACTGTGGCCACACACTGGTTTCAGTTACACAAGAATATCAAAATCTGGCCCTACTGATTTACCTTCATGTAGCCAAGTTTAAAATAACAAAATTATTAATCCAACAACAGGATTTTTTTCCTGTCAATTGTAAAGCAAGGAAACTTCATTACAGAGAAATGTCTACACATCCTTTTGCATATGCTCAAGGGTAGTATCAGTTTATTATATGATCTGCTCCTGCTCTGTATTAATGACTAGTAACTGAATTAATGGACTGACAAGGGATGAATTCAATGATATAACAGATACTGTCTCCCTCAAACTTCCAAAAATTCATTCATTATTACCTAATATGTTCCAGGACAGGTTCACCACATAGTACAGCATATATAAACTGTTCAAATATATACATGGTATGCACCCCTAAGAAGTATTTAAAAAACCCCTCAATCGTTTCATTATTTTATTTCATCTCCTCTATGTGTATTAAGAAAGGCTGCCAGCAAGGAGACTCTGTTCCTGAAGTCTGTTCACTATTACCAAAGACAGTGAAATCTGAGGAATTGTTAGCTATAATTAAGGGAATATGACAACAGGATTTCTGTAGATCATCACCTACGTGTAATGAATGTGTCAGAACAGTTAATTCCTACCTAACGATGAATTTCTTTTAGATTTAGTTATGTAACTTTCAAGCAGTTTCCTCATACTCTCATCATCAGTTTCCTCTAATGCACACTTTCCCATTTCATTTTTAATAATGGATTAGCTCCATACCAAATTAATAACTCTGCCACCTACAGGTAAAATATTTCATATATTTTTATTCTAATCTTTTATTTTAACAATTCATATAGTTTTCTCTGGGGTCTATTTAGCAACACCAGCTGCTAGTAAAAGCTACCAAGATCTATGTTAAAGAACAATAGCTCAAACTACCAGCTATTGTTCCTCAATTGTTCCTCTAAATGAAAGGTTATTCTAAAGCCTTCCACTTTTTTTACATTTTAAAGATTTTGCCACAGTGTACTACCAGCTGCCTTTCTAAAATAAAGGTCTAAAATGATGGTGTCTTGTTGACATTCTGATTTCTTAAAAAAGGCAAATGCTGGAATGAATCATGGCATGGTAAATTTGGGCAAACTGTGTCCGCAATCCACCAAATGTATGTAAAATAGTTATTTTAAGTCATGGAAATATGTTCCCTGGTATTTTCCTTTCTGGGGCTAACCCCTTTTTCTTCAGTTCAATATTAATGGGGTTTCTTTCTTTCGTGAACAAAGATCTCTCAGCTTCCCATGTTCATGTAATGGTGAAACAGGATTAAGATAAAGAAGAGATCGGGACAGAGTGAAGTCTTCTCAGAGTACTCAAATTTAGGGAGTTCTGCCAGAACTTGTCCCAATGTGCAAACTCTCATTCAGCTAGGGATATTGAGAACTTCTCTTCACAAATGTTACCTGGGACTTTAATCCTTCTAATTATTTATTTTATGTCTTTATATGCCCCTTATTTACTGTAGTATCAGCATACTTCACAATCTGTAATGCTCGTATCTTTATAATGCTCAGGATTGCCAACTGTCAGTAAAGTTACCGTCAATAAAAAAAAAATCAGGCTAAATATGTTAACCAGTAAAGTTCAAGAAAAAATCTTTAGCAGTCAGTAAAAACACTAAGCAGCTGCAGCTTGAGTGAGGCTCTGACAGAGCACACAGCAGGACAACCTGGTGTCCAAGCACACCATCCTGCAGGAAGCATTCTCTCAGCCATGTGCTGCTGCATCCCTGGCTGTCTGTAATACTGTTGAGTCACAAATAGGCTCCTTTGGGTGTCTATGCTAGAATGGGGGAAATCGGGCCAGTGGGGTAAGGCTGAAGGGTGGGCTAGGGGAGCAGAATGGTGCAGGTTACTGACAATCAAATCAAACTTTTCTACTTTTTTCTTTTTTTTTTTTTTACTATGGTTGATGTTAAACCCTTACATTGGAACCCAGAACCCTTAACTAGGTCCTGGCAGAAGAGTTAAATTTACATTACATAAAATGTATGTCAGTAAAAAACATTTGGCTGTCAGTAAAAAGTTTGCAGATTGCCAGTAAAAAATTTTCTTGGGCTGGCAACCCTGGTAATACTTCATTTTACAGACAGGGGACATAATCCCTGGGAGGATGAGATGTCTATAATGCTTCTCTACCAAACACAACCACTGCAAGAATCAAGTGGTTTGAGTCTTCAACCACAGCATCTCAGGAAATCGAGGGGGTCAGTTGGGGGCCTCAGTTGCCTATAGACCAGGGGTGGGCAGGCAATTATTTTGGGCAGAAGGCTGCTTACTGAGTTTTGGCAAGCCATCAAGGGCCACATGACAAGCACCCAGGGGCACATAAATATTAATTTTCTAAATTTTTTAGGGTCTTCATGGGCCAGATAGAATGGCCTGGTGGGCCACATCTGGCCCGCGGGCCACATTTTGTCCATCCCTGCTGTACGTCAATGCCAGGAGCATGGGGAACAAGCAGAAGGAGCTAGCCCTCCTGCTCCCTAGCGAGCAATATGACCTGGTAGGGATCACAGAGACCTGGTGGACTCCTCGCATGATTGGAGCATAGCCATAGAGGGCTACACCCTGCACAGAAGGGACCGAGCAGGGAGAAAAGGCGAAGGGGTTGCTCTCTATGTGAGGGAGCAGTACACCCCTCTCGAGGCTGACATTGGCTCCAAAGATAAGCAGCTTGAAACCCTCTGGGTGAAGCTTGGGGGGGGGGGGGGGGGGGGGGGAGGACACCTAACTGTGGGTGTTTACTACAGGTCACCAAACCAAGTGGAGGAGCTTAATCTGGAGTTCTCTCAAAAACTGACAGAGGCTGCGCATGCAAGGGACTTGGTTGTCATGGGCAACTTTAATTACCCGGATATAGATTGGGAGGAACACTCGGCTAGTTCGGATCAGTCATGTAGGCTCTTAACTGTAATTGAGGAGCTCTTTCTGACCCAGGAAGTGTAAGGGCCAACCAGGGGTACCACTCTCCTGGACTTGGTCTTGGCCAAAGGAGATGATCTGGTGTGTGGCTTGAACACTGAGGGTAACCTGGGCAAGAGCAACCATGAGCTCATCAGGTTCACTGTCCACCGCAATGTTGACAAATCAGCTAGCAGGACTAAAGTCCTGGACTTCAAAAATACTGACTTCAACAGGCTCAGGGTATTAGTAGTATAGAAGAAGAAAACCCCAGGCCTTTATTTCTGTTTAAGAAATGCATTGTGGAATTTTCCATAACTCCAAGCAGGCCTATGAGGTCAATAGGTCAACCCATAGTTTTCCCGCCTTTGCAGTTTCCCGCCCTTGCAGCTTTCTGGTTCAAACTAGTTCTCTGTTTGACTTGTTATATTTTGCATCATGTGACCTGAATTGAAACATATAAAAACCTTGCTTTAACTGTCTGTGGTGGAGAGGCTCAGTGCCCCCCACTGCAGCTGCTTGTATAATAAAGGTCTCTGACAACTTCGTGACTAAACAATAAGGTGAAGCTTGTTTCTTCCACAGTTCTTGGTGCCGTGACTCGGATGGCAATGCCCGGCTGAGAGTACCGACAGGCTTGTGGACCGTTCCCCTCCGAAACCCCAGGCACCAAATCAGGGTAAGAGACCTTTTGAAATCTCTAAAGGGGTTATCAGTGGAGGACTGCCCATGCGGGTCGGGAAACCAGTTCGAGCTTATGCCATCTGAACTTTTGAAATACGAACTTGTCAGACACTCTAAAGGGTTTGTCTGAAACCAGTTTACAATTAAAAGAGTAAAAGGAAAAGTCTAGACTAAGGAATATAGAAACCTGGGGAATAGTGTGAGTGTTTTCCATGGTGTCGCTGACCAAGGCTGGGACTAAAGAAATATTCTTGAACCCTGTGCCTCAGCACAGAAGTTCCCTTGTGTGAAAGAATATGAGCCCCTGACCAGGTCTGAGACTAAGGCTGGGTCTAGCCACTTCAAGACTGTCTAGAAAGGCAGACTTGAAAGCAAGGGAGCCCAACTGGAACCTCATGACCCAGCGGACAGGTTTATCCTTTCCCCGTCCACGGAAACCGTCCGGGTAACTGGCGGTTTATGTGTAAAATTAGCACATCAAGTCCCTTACCCTCTTCCCTGTGTGAGTGCCCTGTGTGAATTGAGGAATGGGGGGCTCTGGGTCAAAGGATGTCCCAACCCCACCAAAAGGAAACCCAGCTGGTTATATGTATGTGTGTTAGGGTAAAAAATCGTGTAAGTTTTTAGATAAATGGAATTGGTATACCAGGGATAACCCTCCAAAACAATTTCCTTCAGAAGGAACTTTTGATCTTGATAAACTGATCCACCTCTGAAAAGTTCTAGAGTCCCGAGGTAGCAAAACCCCTCAAACTCAATGGGAAGTCTATTTTGATTGGTATGAAGAAGGTAGTAAGAGGCAACAAGAAT